GCGAACATGTTCCCTAGATCCCTTACCTGCTTTCCTTCACCCTTTACGTAACGAGGAGGATGATGCTCTCCGCGATGGACTTCCCGAGGTCCTCCGTGCTCTCATACAGCGGACCTGACTCTTTGCTGAAGTCGTCCCAGAGACCCAGGACTAGGGGTTCCTCCCATGCCCTCCTTCTCCATACTTTTGTGAATAAAGACGTTTCTCTCTCTCTCTCTCTCTCTCTCTCTCTCTCGCTGCGGCGTCCTCCCGCGTTTTTTTTTGTGTGTGTGTGCTTTCTCGCTTACCAAGCGTCGCCTAGAGGTAAGAGTTGCCCTCTCGAGACGGCGGTATTGCACTCTACTAATGCGCCAAAAATAACTTTAATAAGGTTGCACGGATGACGTAGCCGCAGCATGTACATGAATGGTTTGATTGGACAAACATGGAAGATGTCTTTGTCCTGTGGTACCTGCAGTGGCCCTCACCTCAAACTTAATAGGCCACAGGCTCTTACGCTCAGGCTACTGCAGAGACTGACACAAACCGTAACCTGAGCTCCCTTCACGCTATTCATCCAGACGCGTTCCCCAATGACGCTTGTCCCCGTATGTGGGGACGTAGCCACGCTGGAGCACATGCTCTGGGAGTGCAAGGCATGTACGCTAATCCCGACACTACTTTGGTCAAGCGGTAGGTGGCTCTACAAAGATCCCTCCGGGCCGACCAACTTTGCGCCGTCCAGCAGGCTCGCCGAGCGACAGTCCCAACGTGGGAGTCACCCGCTGCGCGCACCTTGCAGGACCATATGATAAAGTTTCGCAACCAACCAACCAACTTGCAGTGGACGCAATCAGAGCGACGACGACTATGATGATTGGCGGTCCGAACTGATTTTGCTGCCGTTCGTTATACAATAATAAAGCACACCACTTCCTGCTTCTGTCCAAAAAGACAGGGCGCGCAAACATAAACATAAGATGGAAGCCCCGCAGGACCCCACCAAACGCTCACTAACAACTGAAGCTGCGAACAACGGTGGAAAGGGCAGAAGGCATGAAAACTTATCTACGCATGATCGTGAGAACCTATCAGTCCGGCACACATGAGGGTCTATATGGAAGATAACTGTTAAGGTATTTGATTTCATTTTAGGGGCGAAGCTCCTTAGGGCGTGGGCTGTGCGTCCCCTGTAGCCTGTATGTAGCCACCTCTAGTTTAGTTCTTGCAGTGTTCACTAGATGGCGGTACCGTCCCCTGTATGTAGCCACCTCTAGTTTAGTTCTTGCAGTGTTCACTAGATGGCGGTACCGTCTCCTGTATGTAGCCACCTCTCGTTTAGTTCTTGTAGTGTTTACTAGATGGTGGTACTTGTAGCTAATGATGAAAAGATGCAAGATGTTATAAACTAGAAAGCGGTACTTGTAGTTGATGAAAGACGCGAGATCTTATAAAATAGGAATGATGTCACATATGGCGCGTGTCATTGGTTGAAGGCAATCGTTCGATTTAGTGCGGCGACGTACGCTAGGGGGAGCGATGTAATAAAATCGAGTGGGCAAAATGTACAGAGGATTCATGGTTTACCAGGTTTACCTCCGGAGCTTCGCCCACTCATCATCATTCACTTCGTGGATATGGCGGAATTTTTTTTATGCAAGTTAATAACGACGGTTGGTTCACGCGTGCACTAGCACTATTATCGGGGCATCAATGATCAGACGCGTTTCTTCATTCCAATAAAAAGTTGCGCATTCATCGAACCTTGACGTGCTTGTACATTCTCGGCCATGTAAATAAGGATTAACAAAATGACAATATCTGGGGTTATACGTCCCAAAATCGGGATGTGATTAGACACTTTTAGTTGGGCGTATGGGGAATTAACTTGCGTGCGCTGTGAAAATGAGGTTGCGCACGCTGCAAGTGAAACGTGCAACGACACTTTTCGTACCCTGACGCGTTTCACTCAACTATAGGCAAGTCGTATTCGAGGTGCAAGTGTTTAGAATGCCCATAAGCGTCACCCACGCTTAGAAGTATGCTATAGGTCCCAGTGACAACGTGGCCTCTGTGATTTGCGCGAAAAACATTCATGACCTTACGACGAACTACCAGCACATTGAAGGCGTGAAATCTCGCACAACGACCAAAGCGTGTTACGTTGCACCACGAATAAAAATGTACGTACAAAGCTGCCGTTTTATTTACGGGTTCATTCGCGGAGAGGCCTGCTGGCAGAAAAAGACGCCTTCCCGCACACAGCCCATTGGAGCCGATTCTTCAGGGTTTTCGTGGGACGCCAGGTGATTTCTCCTGGACCACCAGGATGCCGAACGTACCGCTTGAATTTACCTTGTCGGGCATGAAAACATCGCCTTTCATTGTGAAATACACATGCCTTGAATCAGATCCGCTGTTGCTGTTCGCATCGAACGTCACTGCTGCTGGTGGTGGCGGTAGAAACATTTTATTACAGAAAATGTACCAGAGAGTTGCGGCATATTGCATGATTGAGTGGCAAGACCCCGGGATGCCAATGGAGTTGGCCGTTGCTCGAGCGCGCCTCACCAAGGAGCGTTGAGCATCCAAGGTCGAGCAGGTACTCCTTCCAAGCCTCTATGCTGTCACCATGTACACTCGTTCTAGTTTCTTCGAGGTCTCGCGAGAACGTAACGTAGTAGGCATTGCGTTACGTATACGCAGCATCTTGTTTCGAGCGTACGCGCGCCTCTCTGAAATACCGGGTACGCTACGTACTGCACATGCGCAGTTCTCTCCCGTGGCAGTGCTGCGTATGCGGGCTCGTTACGTAAGCCCACCTAAAAGTGTCATAGATACCGTAGTGGGGAGCTCTGGAAAATTCGACCATCTGGTGACGTAGCACACAGCACACGAGCGTCAACCATTTCGGCTCCATCGAAATGCGAGCGCCATGGCCGGGATCAAATCCGCGAACTTTGAATCAGCAGCCGAGCACCGTATACATAGGCGCTGTTCAACCAAGGCGGACCAATGTAAAGAAGGATTAGAAGGTGAGTTTTCGGCTAGCCATCTCTTGAGTTGCAATAATTTGTGGTCAATGCACGTCTTTTCAACGTAGAAGCCATGGCAGCTGAAAGACGCCTTATAAACTAAACTTGCACAACAATGAATGATTCTATTGGTGTGCTTTAAGAAACAAATATCGACCCGCTTCTTGTATTTTATTCCATAATTCTTTGTCTGCACTGCGTCACAAATCTTATACCTCGGATATTGGCAGCCGTACAAAACAACATTAACGTCGTATCTACATGCTACTTTCTTCAGCCTGTGAGATACGCGATTCATTACGTTTCTTCTCATAGCTTTCTGCATCCATGCTCGGACTTAACATAACGGACTTTTTCATATGTTCGGTGGCAGTGGCTGGTGCATCAAGTGGACAACCTAAAACTAAAATATGTGCGACTTTTGCGCTTAAGTTGTCACTTACTTAGTGCTCACACAGCTGCGCGAGGGCCAACTGAAGGCAAGACATGTACCGTTTTTTTGCAACCATCAGGAGCTTTGAGGAGAAACCTAACAACGGTAGTGAAGATCTTGGAGCAAAAGTGGTTCATGTTTATAGGTTGTACTGCACTATTTTGGGGCAATTTTTCAGTAAAACTTTTGCCCTCCTCCATTTCATACAAAATTTTTAATTTCAAGGCCCTCACTACTACAACAATCAAGTAATACTCCACATAACGAAATACCTAATAATAGGATCACCTCGTAAGAAAGAAATATTAAGGATGCAACCCACATAGACACCAAAAAGAAATGCGACAGGATAGGGCACGCACGAACATATTTAATGATCGAGGTTGGGGCTTATATACGCCAATGCACCGGTAAATGAATAAAAGTGCTTGCCTTCGCTTTTTCTCTGTCTGTATTGAACGTCCTCTTGTTTGCCAAATGGCATCACTTGCGCAACAAAAGATGACCCAGAATTTTGCGCTTCCTGTGAAGGAAAACGCATGAGAAACCATAGGGCATCAAGTAGGGCTAATAAAATAAATTTAACTTCGCCGGGAGCTCGGTGTCTTCTCGTATTCTGTGTCCCTCTTCCTTTCTTTCTTTCTTTTTTTTCTTTCTTTCTTTCTTTCTTTTTTTCTTTATGCCCCGCCGCGGTGGTCTAGTGGCCGAGGTGCTCGGCTGCTGACCCGCAGGTTGCGGGATCGAATCCCGGCTGCGGCGGCTGCATTTCCGATGGAGGCGGAAATGTTGAAGGCCCGTGTGCTCAGATTTGGGCGCATGTTAAAGAACCCCAGGTGGTCGAAATTTACGAAGACCTCCACTACGGCGTCTCTCATAATCATATGGTGGTTTTGGGACGTTAATCCCCACATATCATCATCATCATCATCCTTTCTTTATTATTATCATTAGTAGTATTGGTTGTAGTAGAAGTATTTGTAGAGCAGTTAGATTCGTTTTAATATAGGTATGGATGTATGGAACTTTGTTTACAGTCCTGAGATATGAAGCAAGCAATTACTACAGCCTAGAAAACGGTCACTTCGCGCTCTTGGGTCTCCCACGGGTATCACTAAATTTCGAGTGCCCCAGCTATCCTTGTTCCAGTCTGTACGCGGACGACAGCGTACGCGACCGCGCGCCCACCACTCGCGATCTCGCTGGACAAACCCGCCCGCTAACGTTTTTCGCTCCTCGCAAGATTTCTCGCGCCTCACGTGACATTTCGTGACAGGTGCTCGTCACCGTTGGCGCGTCCCGTTGTGGACCGGTCGATCGGCCGTAGCGCGTGGCAGCAACATACCCCTTTCTTCCATATCACCGTTTTGTTTTGTTTTTTAGTCGTTCGCACGCCTCGACTCGTCGCTGACTTACAGCGCACCAGCTTCGAAGGAGGGGGGGGTACAGGTGAGCGGTGGGGGAGAGGGAGGATAAATCAGAAAGGGAAAGAAAGGGACGATGACGTCAGTGGTAATCATTCCGGCTACGGAGAGGCAACCAGCGGAGCGGCCCCAGCCGGGGGAGGCGGCGGCTGCTTTGCGGCGAGAGAGCCAGCGACGCGGGGCAGTTGCTGGAACGGCGGCGTCGACGGCCCGACTCGTGCTCGACGGCCGCACGCCCTCACACGCCAGTGCGTCGGCCCGAGCGGTGGTGGTGGCACAGCGAACAGGTTTGGCAATATGGCCGCCTAGACTCGCGCTTCGTCGCCGTCGGCTCTGTGTGGAAGAAAAAGGAAACCGCAGATGCGAAGCAGAACCGTTTCGTGAAACTTCTTCGGCGATGGTGAAACCTTCGTGCCGTTTTCGCGTCGACGACGAGTGATTTCCCCGCGGGTCGTCCGTTTGGCGGTGTGTTGGGTGTCTGCGCCCCCCCACGGAAGGGGAGTGCGTGTTTGTGTGTGTGTGTGGCCGTGAGAGAATCTCGCCCCGTTGAGGGGAGTGTCCGGCGACCGCCGCCGCTTGTGGTCGGTGCACAGCGCGACGCCGGGGACCATGAATTCGTACGAGAATAACTGCCTGCGCTGCGGTCAGACCGTGTACCAGGTGGACAAGGTGGGACCTCTGAAGGACTTCACCTTCTACCACCAGGGCTGCTTCAAGTGCCTCGTGTGCGGCACCAAGTTGACCCTGAAGACGTACTTCAACAACCAGCAGAGTCAGGAGGACAAGGAGGTCTACTGTCAGAACCACGTGCCCAAGACCGGACCGGGCCACCTGGACGGCATGTCGGTGGGCATCAAGGCGGCGCTGAGCGTGCCCAAGACCAACAACCTGGTCAACGACCAGATTCGCGGCTCGGGCAAGGGCACGTTCGACGCGGACGCGCTTGGCATCAAGTCGGCGCTCACCAGGAACCACCAGCAGCACCACGAGCAGGAGTACAAGCACGCCGTGAACCGGGCCGGTCGCTTCGACGCCAGCGCGCTGCACATTACGCACGCGCTGAACGCCACCAAGGTGCACCGGGGCAAGCTCGCTTACGAGCGCAACATGGACGAGTATCTGGTGAGTCTTCCCTACTTCCAAAGTCGTTTACGGGCCTTCTAATCTCGTGGCGTGTCGCTCGTACGCAAAGCTTCGGTTCCGATTATCTAGGGACGTCACATTTTGTGACGGCACACAGCTGAGCGGAACTTCCGCCTCCTCGCTGGAGCTCGTTTCTCCAGCGCTTTCACTGTGGCGTGTTTGCCGTTGGACACACGTTTTTGAACGTCATGGTTCGTCGTTGACAAGCAGATCGCCAAGTTGCGATCATAGGGTTGTCATATTGTGACAGCTGATGTCATATTGTGACAGCCTCGGCGCTGGCGTCGTCTTGCACTTTCGCATCGTCGCGTTTTCAATCAGACATGGTCTTCAATGTCATGCTTTTTCTCTTGTTTACCCGTGAAGTAAAACACGTGAATGAAAGACAGCGTCATTAGACAAATAACGTGGGAGGTGGTTCGCACTAGCGTAACCAAATTTCTGGAGGAGTTTCTGGTTGTTATCTCGCGCTTCCTATTATGCGACTCTCATTGGACATGTTTCTGAAACTCTGGATCTATCGCTGGCAGTGTTTGCTCGAAAATGACTGCTTCGGGCTTCATTCACACTGTGACGAAAAACATCTGAGTGGGCGATTCCAGCAAGGTTGTGGTTTTTGATATAAAGAACGTACCCAAATCGCAGGACAAACACAAGGGGTGCTTTTCTCGCTCGTGCAATTTGTTGAGGCTGCCGTGGGACAAGACATTGGAACCTCATGGTTTGTTGTTGGGGTTCCTTTCTCTTTCAACCCACTATTCCCCAAACCCAGTATAGGGTAGCATACCGGATACTAGCATCTGGTTAACCTCCCTGCCTTCCTTTTTTCTTGTCTCTCTCTCTCTCTCGTTGTTGGGGTTGAAACGTGCAACAAGCGAGTTTATCGTCAAGGAACCTTGTGGTCCTCAGCGGCTCGCGAAACTTTCTAAATTGCTCGATTAGGGACTCGTAGTGCGTGTGGCGTTCTTTTGCATTTTTACTTTGTCGTTGATGTCGTTGTAGCACTTCTTCGGTTCGTGACTTGCCGCAAGTCGAGCTGTCCTTGCTTTTGGACTTCTGGTGTCAACGGCCAGATTTTCGATGCGACGACTAGCCGCTATATACGAAGGTGCTTGCGCTGGAAAGAAAGCAGCGTTTTATGAGCAGGTTTTTCTTTTTTTTTTTTTCAATGGGTCGCAAAGCGATCACTTGGTATCGCGCTGACACTGTTCGCGGAGTACAAAGTGCGAAGACGCTTGCCCCGGGCTATATCGATCGAATCGAACCGGTTACGCTGCGCCAAGTTGCCCGCTGCCCATTATATACGGGGACACTCGACTGCAAATGCCCAGCTTCGCTCAGCTAAGCACTTCGCGCCGCAGTAAGGAAAACCGTGCTAGCTGGTGTAGTTGAAATGCAGAGAGCAAAAAAAAAAGCAAAAACAGGCAATGATTTTTGGGGTTTAACGTCCCAAAACCACCATATGATTATGAGAGACGCCGTAGTGGAGGGCTCCGGAAATTTCGACCACCTGGGGTTCTTTAACGTGCACCCAAATCTGAGCAAACGGGCCTACAACATTTCGGCCTCCATCGGAAATGCAGCCGCCGCAGCCGGGATTCGAACCTGCGACCTGCGGGTCAGCAGCCGAGTACCTTAGCCACTAGACCACCGCGGCGGGATGCAAAAACAGGCAAGGAAATTGTACAATCGTCTTTTATGAAACGTGGCACGTACGAAAAGTTACCTGTACCGCAAAAGGGCGCAACATTCATACCTACAGTGTTAATGAGAACAGACAATGATGCGAAAGAAAGTATAGGGGATGCCATTAGCAGTAATTGTAATGTAAATGCGAAGAAAGAGAAGTGGACGAAACGATGAAATGCCACCAACAGGAATCGAACCCGCGACTTCAGAACAACGCGTCTGACGCTTTACCATTGTCTGTTAGTTCTTATTATTCCGTCTAGCAAACCAAACCAGCCCTTAGGTTTGCACTTCTTCCCTACTAAACCCTACGGCGATAAATGTGACAACTGAGACAGTCTAGCACACATAGTTTGTACGCGCCACGTACCGGAACGAGTGACAATTAATTGCTTGAGCGATAAATCCATGATTTGCTATCATGCGTTAACGTTATGCAGCCGGTTAGGTTCAGCGCCCGGCACTGTAGAACGGCGAGTGTGTTTTTAATTGTTATCCAATCACCTGTCGGAATTTGGCCTCTCCGAAAAGCTTTAATAATTTACCATTTCGTACAGAAAAGCCTAGACTTGCCTGATATCCCAGTTGTCACTGCTAAGGTTCACTTGCGCATTTCATACGTTTATGTCCATATTTTGTTTATCTATAATGTTCCCTCTCTTCTGGAACCTTCTAATATCATTCCCAATCTCCGTACTGAGCAGCGTGCCAGCGATTATAAGTGCAGGCAAGTACATCTGTTTTTGTAATAGTCTCTCTCACATAGGCTAGACAGATGTGTGGCAGCTTGGGCTAGTGTGTGGCATGACGATAGTTATAGCGCGAGAACAAAACGACGACTTCGTGTCCTTCTTGTCTCTGTGTCGTCGTTTTGTTCTCGCGCTATAGCTAGACAGATGGCACAGGCGCTATTCTATGTCTGTGTCCATGACCTTTGGCGGTGTTACTTTGATTAAACACTTCTTGCTCGTGACGTGACCCTCGTAGCCTTTTCAACGACTTTATCAACTGCAAGTTTCACTAGACCACGCCGCAACACCTGTTTGAGCATGCACGAAAAGCTGTGTAAGAACAAGTACCAGATACCGCCACGATGCCTCCTCCTGGTATCGAATCTGGTCGGGAAATATTGTAATTTATATTTCTCCTTTTTTGTTATACGCCATAAATAGCACCCCGACGATAACGCGACGCTGACGAGGGGGCCCACGAATGGGCTCCTTTGCTCTACTTTATCGACTTTATCGATTTTGACGCTCAGCTACCGGCAGATCGCTCTGATAACGTTGCCGGGGCGAAGCTCTGACTACTGAGGAAGCGCGCAGAGGAAGTTAATTGGAATGGAAGCCAGCAGATTATATTCGCCGATAAGCTCCTTTTTTTTATCGGACAGTGACGTTTCAGTGCATTTATCTCATTTTCTACGAGACCGACTTCCGCGTGTCAGACATCACCCCACCAATGCGGAACCGATATGGTATATTTTAGATGCGTTTGTGAAGCCGACAGTTGCTGCGGCTTTTGGCTACGTTGTGCACAGCACGTTCCTGTCCAGCGGTAATGCAATGTGCGCGACATTTCCCACTTTTGAGCAGCCTGTCTCTTGCGTTTAGTGGTCCGAATCTCGCGGTGATAAAATTTGAGTAGTTTGTGTAGCATACATTGCAGACTTGAAATCTTGCTTTTTAAAAACTAACATCAGTGGACGAAGCTGAAATTGCGGGGGAAAAGGGGGGGGGGGTTCAAATTCACTTGGAAATTTTCAACTTTGCTTGCGTGCATATGAACGCATACACACAAACGCACGCACCAACACACATAAACATAGTTTAACCCCCTCCCATTCCCGCGAAAAAAAAATAAAAAAACAGGCGTTTTGTCTCTCACGGCACAATTCGTGACGTCGGCAGTTTTTTTTTACGTGACGTCCGAATTAAATAAAGCCTCGACTGGTCAATATGTGAAATATATATCGATTGCTAAATTTTTCGTGATCGCGTTATGCACGACTGTTGTGCAAGATAAACGGAATTCGCTTCGTCTTCTGCGTTTGCGACTGCGCAAGCAAAGACAGCAGCAGCGTTTGGTCGAAACGCGCGAAATGCTAACTTGTTTAACGCTTAGTGTGGGCGTTCCACACGTTTTATGAAAAAAGTGAGTGGCGAGGAGGAGATAGCGCTTCTAGGACATGTTGTGAAGGCGATCGAAATAGAAACCACAGTCTCGCCTTTGAACTCGGGGTGGTTAAAGGCCATCGAGGCGTTATCCGTGAAACTGTAAACGCATATCTTAAACGCATTCCTAATGCAATAGCCCTCTGGAATGCCTTACCGGATGACTCCACTTCATGCGCCGACAGTGAAACGTTCCGCGCAAAACTGAACGAACATTTTTTTCAAGCCTCTCTCCTGATAATCTCAACTACTTCGTGTTTATTGCCAATCGTGTTAGCATTGTACTTAGTTTTGCTCTGCAATTGTTTGACATATGTAAAGCATTGTGTATTCTTTTTTATCTTGTTCTAGTTCGTTCATGTGATTTCTGATTCCTGTCTCCTGAGTAAACTTATTTGCTTTTATTCATTTATTTATTTATTTACTCATCCTGTTGAACATTGTACCCTATCTTGTTACTTGTACCCCCCTTATGTAACGCCTTCGGGCCTTTAAGGGCGAAATAAATGAAATATCTTACGTTCTGTCGCGGCACTTCACAAGTGGGCTTTGCCGCACTGCGGCTTTCATTCGTGCGAGTCAGTCGCTGGACGTTGTTGTTAGACTGCGTGGGCCGTGCCGGCGTGCGCTCTCGGAGCTGTGACCTTGACCAGCGCGTGCACCACCGGTCCGGAAGTGGTTTACCGCGCGCGAACGTGGCAGGAGGAGAGGCTACACCTGGTCACGTGGGTGACAGAAGGCCGCACGGACCTTGTGTATGCGTGTTAGAGCGGGAGAGAGGGGGGCAACGTGGGAGACGAGGTTGTCGCCCAACCCGTTTTCACCTGACGCAACTCCTCGCGATGTCCAACGAAAGCAGCACGCTTGTTTTCTTTTCCAGCTAGCTCGATCATCGCAAGCGATCGAACACGAATCTCAATGATATTTCACTTTCGCCGCATATCTGACACGTTCTTATGTGTCATTCCAGTCGATGCGACTTTCACATGAGGTCGCGGACGCAAGTTTTTTTTTTTTTAATGGACACAAAAGAGAAACGATGGCTTGATTTACATTGACGAACTGCACTCTGAGAACTCTAATGCCTTGTGTCTTACTATAATGGGTTCCTAATTA